CAACTATATTTAAACTCACAAATAAAAACTAAACTTTTCAAATTTTAATATATATCTAAGGGATAATAAAAAAAAATCATGTATTTTTTTCGTCGCAATTTAAACCCTATACTTTTTTATCTAAAAAAATCCTATACTTTTCAAAATTTTAAAAATTATACACATTCATATATACATATTAATTATTATAAGCACAAAATCAATTACACATTTATTTTCTACAAAATTAATTGCATATTTATTTTATATATTTATATGTATATATATGTTATATATATGTGTGATATATGTATTTTTTTTCCTAAAAATCATTATATATATAAGAAACTATTTATTATTTGTATATTTTTTGTATGAGTTCAATTGTCCAAAAAAGCATGTTCTTGGAAAATAGTTTCTTTTATATAAAATAATATACAAATAATAAATAGTTTCTTATATATATATAATGATTTTTAGGAAAAAATACATATATCACACATATATATAAAACATATATATACATATAAATATATAAAATAAATGTGTAATTAATTTTATAGAAAATAAATATGTAATTAATTTCGTGCTTATAATAATTAATATGTGTATATGAATGTGTATAATTTTTAAAATTTTGAAAAGTATAGGGTTTTTTTGGATAAAAAAAGTATAGGGTTTAAACTGCGACGAAAAAAAATAAAGGGTTTTTTTGGATTATCCCTTAGATATATGTTAAAATTTGAAAAGTTTAGTTTTTATTTGTGAGTTTTAATATAGTTGAGTATTTAATTTAGAAGTGAGATAGTTGAGTATTTAATTTGGAAATTTGATTAAAGTTCAATATTTAATATGTGAATCTCCCTAGTAATAAATAACGGGCTCTTATGAGACATGATCCGTACACTACGAAAGGCAAGGGTTCAAAGGATATACGTTTCGGAATTCGGTTCGAAATTTTATTGGTCCGGTTAGAGAATGATTTATTTGGTTCTAAAATTTATGTCAAATTAATACCGTATATTATCGGTTCGATTATAGTTTTGATACGGTTCGGTTTTTGTTAAAAAATTAGCGTTTTAAAAAAATTTGATTTTTCGAAAATTTTATGAAATTCTGTTCGATTCAATTTTAAAAAATTCGATTGTACAAAAAAATATATGGTTCATAAATTTTGAATATACGATTTAAAAAAATATCAATATTTTCGATTGGGTTCCCAATAATACAATACAGAGTGTAGATCCAATCATCTTCTATATAACTTTCCGTCCGTCATAAGCCTTGGAAATTGTGAAAACCCATACCCACCCACTCACTACTTTTCTTTCTTCTACGGAGACACGCAAACGTTGTCGTTTTGGTCCGTTGAAAAAGAGCTTCTACAAACAATACTTACCCGGTCGTGCTAAACCGGATTTGACAGACCGGATGAATAAACACACGTGTTTAAATTTATAGATAAATGTCCAATAAAGATACCAAATATCACGCGCCATCTAAATATCATAAAAGTATCGTTATATTCTATCGAACTTTATAAAAATATCGTTAAATTTGTCAAAATTATAAAAATATATTATTCTCCCTCTGGTTCATCTTAGATATCGTTTAAAACCTAAACATATAAATTAAGAAAAATAATAATTTATCTAAAATATCCTTATTTATTACATTGTTATTTTTAAATATATAAAATATTTAAAAATTATTAACTATAGATAAATTTAAAAAAACATTAATAAATTACATGAAAAATCTTTAAATATCATTTATTTTCAAATAAAAATATTATTAAAAAAATGTCATCTAATTTAGAACGGATGAGGTATTTATTTACGCATCTCCACAACTCGCATAGTTTCGAGCTTAGATTTCACATAACCTCATCCTTTTCTAATATCGATGATTTTTATTAATAAAAAAATGGGTCATCGGGATTCGGTTCAACACTTATTCAGTTTATTAAAGTAATTCAATTTTATCTTTTTTATTTAATATTCGATTTGAATCAATTGGGTTTCGATTTATTCGTTCCTCTAACAATAAAACCATTGGTCCGAATACGGCGTTGTTTTTTTTTTTTTGGGTTGGAACGGAACCGAAACAATAACCCTTTTTAAAAAACTAATTTTATTTTCCTTTTTGTATTTGGTAAAATTAATAAAGCAGACTAATTACGTACTCCTTAGCAAATTAAAAAACCGAACCAATATTTACAAATCTAGAAGTTATAAGCAACTGGAAGTCCGATTTAGATATATACGAGAATAATTTATAATTACGAATAATGCTTTTTTTTAGGTCTGATATTTTTCCACATTTAACGGTTGAGACTAACCGTCGCAAAACGCCGTCGTATAGCTTCGTCAGGTCGTCTCTACACGCAAAGTTCGTGTCGTAATTTGTAGCAGCCTTCTCCTGCCCTGCACAGTACCTAACCCTCTGTAAAAAAAAAAAAAAAAAAAAAAAAACTTCACCACCATTCTTACAGTTACATGTCCAGCAATGGCGCCGAAGCTTGATTCCTTTAGGCAGAGCATGTTCGAGAAGCGTGAGAGGTTTCTCTCCAATGGCTTCTCCGACCTCCGATTCGTGGATATCGAGTCGAACGAGTTTGTCGACGACAACAGTCATGGTCGGACTCGCTTCTGCTGTTGTTGCAGCTGTTCGTTCCGGAAGCTCTCCGAAAAGCTCTCCGGGTTTTTTCTGTACGCCGGCGATGTGGCGCGAAAAGCGTGGGATATGGGCGCGTCTGATCCGAGGAAAATCGTCTTCTCCGCGAAGATGGCTTTGGCTTTGACGATTGTGGCTGTCCTGATTTTCTTCCAGGAACCTAATCCAGATCTCAGCCGTTACTCTGTTTGGGCTATTCTCACAGTCGTCGTCGTGTTCGAGTTCACAATCGGTAATCATCTTCTAAATCTTCCAAACTTTTGTTTCCGATGATTTTGATTTGAATTTGGTTTTGTCTGGGGATAAAATTTCTCATCTCATTACTGATCAATCGACTGGCATGATTCGAATTTGAGAAGGAAAAACCCCCAATTCTGAAACTTGTTGATTTTGGGTCTTTGATAATTTTTCCTTATTTTCTGCTTTAATTAAATATATTTCAAACATTTAAAAAACACAGAGAGAATAGTTCAAGAGCTTTGACTAGCGTTGAAGATTTGTCTGACGCTGAACTGGAGAATCTTACTCCGTCTCATTAGACGCCATTCATCTACTGTAACATCTCCACTGTTAGCAATCCGTGGATTATGCAACAATACTCGCTTTCCATGAATAATGCAAATGTCGATTTCGAGATTCCTGAAGTTGTTGAACTTCGATCGAAACTGAACCCTGAAGCAGATGTTTCATGAGTTGTCTCATGCCTCTGTCTTGCCCTTATATATATATATATTTTACAATTTTGCATAAATCCCATTACATAATCATAAGCTGTGCTTTAAGTTCCATGAAGCTAATGTACTCATGGTTCTTGAAGACTCACTGTTAGGCTAATCCACATGGTTTTCTTGTTTCTGGTTATATTTTTCTGTCTCATTATGTTCAATATAGTTTCTAAGTTAATTGGAGAAAGTTCTGTCATTTGAAGCGTTATTTTGTAATTCTGACATTAGTAATCTACATTGATGAGTGACTGGATCGGATCGTTGTCCTGCAGGGGCGACTCTGAGCAAGGGGTTTAACCGAGGGATCGGGACATTATCAGCCGGAGGTTTAGCCCTCGGGATGGCCGAGCTCTCCAAACTTGCTGGTGATTGGGAAGAGCTTTTCGTCACCATAAGTATCTTTTGTATTGGTATATGTCTCAGTCTCTTGCATCACCATTATCATTTTCCTTGCAACATTCATAACTCTTTGTCTCTGATCAGCTTATGTTTTGTTTTAATGGTTGCTTGTTTTCAGGGTTTATTGTGACTTACATGAAACTCTACCCATCCATGAAGGCTTATGAATACGGATTCCGGGTTTTCTTGCTCACATATTGTTATATCATAATTTCCGGGTTCAGAACTGGGCAGTTCATAAACGTGGCAATATCCCGTTTTCTTCTGATTGCTCTCGGTGCTGCTGTTAGTTTGGGTGTGAATATGTTTATCTATCCAATCTGGGCTGGGGAGGATCTTCATAACCTTGTCGTGAAAAATTTCATGAATGTCGCTGCTTCTCTCGAAGGTTGGTAAAACTAAAGTTTTAGTCTTTTCTCTCTGGTTTCCTCCACTAGCTTGTTCCCACAATATCCGGCTAGTTTATATATATATGTATATATATATATGCTCTGTTCATAATATGTCTTCTCGACTGGATTTTCCTGGACTGATTATAGATTTGTGTAGGTTGTGTAAATGGGTATCTCCGTTGTGTCGAGTACGAGAGAGTCCCGTCCAAAATCCTCACGTACCAAGCGTCGGATGATCCTGTTTACAAGGCCTACAGATCAGCCGTTGAATCTACCAGCCAAGAAGACACTCTTGTATACTTATGCTTCATCCTTGGAATCTTTGTCTTTTTTCTTTCGTTGCAAAAATCGTTTCCTCCATTATGTCGTTTGCTAGAACGGGGCAGTTCATAAACGTGGCAATATCCCGTTTTCTTCTGATTGCTCTCGGTGCTGCTGTTAGTTTGGGTGTGAATATGTTTATCTATCCAATCTGGGCTGGGGAGGATCTTCATAACCTTGTCGTGAAAAATTTCATGAATGTCGCTGCTTCTCTCGAAGGTTGGTAAAACTAAAGTTTTAGTCTTTTCTCTCTGGTTTCCTCCACTAGCTTGTTCCCACAATATCCGGCTAGTTTATATATATATGTATATATATATATGCTCTGTTCATAATATGTCTTCTCGACTGGATTTTCCTGGACTGATTATAGATTTGTGTAGGTTGTGTAAATGGGTATCTCCGTTGTGTCGAGTACGAGAGAGTCCCGTCCAAAATCCTCACGTACCAAGCGTCGGATGATCCTGTTTACAAGGCCTACAGATCAGCCGTTGAATCTACCAGCCAAGAAGACACTCTTGTATACTTATGCTTCATCCTTGGAATCTTTGTCTTTTTTCTTTCGTTGCAAAAATCGTTTCCTCCATTATGTCGTTTGCTGAATCGGGTTCTCTTTTTTTTCTTTGCTACGATTTGTCGTCAAGATGGGTTTCGCGATATGGGAGCCTCCTCACGGACCGTACAAGTCCTTTAACTATCCATGGAAGAACTACGTCATGCTTAGCGGAGCTCTCAAGCATTGTGCTTTCACTGTCATGGCATTGCACGGTTGCATTCTCTCCGAGATTCAGGTAAAAACCCGACACTTCATGCGATCTTCTCGTTCTTTAGATATCCGGGTTTCCAGTTCACCTTCATTTCCGGCCATAGTTTCGACCGACAAAGAAGTTGTTGTATGATTAGCTGGAGGCAGAGTTAGTCGGTTCAGACCGGATTAGTTCGGTTTAGCTTAGTTTACATGATATTAATACTTGAACAATATGAATATCATAGAAAAACTTTTGCATTTTCATTTCCGAATTCTCGCTAGAGTAGAAAGGATATCACGCTAAAGATATCTAACGAATCGAAGATACTTCTCGAATATAATCTGTATTAGGCGCCGGAGGAACGGAGACAGGTTTTCCGGCAGGAGCTTCAGAGAGTAGGAGCCGAAGGAGCAAAACTACTGAGAGAACTAGGGAAGAAGGTGAAGAAGATGGAGAAGCTGGGACCAGTCGACATTCTCTTCGAAGTTCATGAAGCCGCCGAAGAGTTACAACACAAAGTCGACAAGAAATCGTACCTTCTCGTTAATGCCGAGAGCTGGGAGATCGGAAACCGATCAAAGGATCCACCCTTGGAGCCTCAAGACCTCCTCGATCTCGACGATTCCGAGCCCCGAGAGAGCCATGAGACTCTGACTCCGATCTACGCCTACAAGTCCCTTAGCGAGGCGGTTCTCGAGATCCCCAAGAGCTTGAACCAACGCCCCGAGGGCCCGAAACCTCGCGGTGGCAATTTCGTAAAACAGATTTCTTGGCCCGCAAGGCTCTCGATCCGTGCCTCGGGGGATCAGCCTCAGATCGAGACGACAAAGACTTACGAGAGCGCGAGCGCGCTTTCGCTGGCCACTTTCACGTCGCTGCTCATCGAGTTCGTGGCTCCATTGCAGAATGTCGTTGACGCATTTGAGGAGCTCAGCGTGAAGGCGAATTTCAAGGAGCCGCCGGAGGATGTGGCGGAGGGAGAAGTGGTGGGGTTGTCGTGGTGGCAGAGGATTCGCCGGTGTTTTGGTTTAAAAGGATCCGCCGGTGTTTTGGTTTGAAACCAGAAGCCGGTGGTAATATTTAGATTACATTTTTGGCAGAGATCTAAAATGTAATATTCAGGATCACCACTAATCTTAAATATATATATATATATATACATATATGTTTTGGCACCAGAAAATTTGAAAACAAAATCTTATATAAAGAAATGTTTTAGTTTTGGGTTATATTATGAAAATGAAATCTATATCTAAAACATAATAAATTATTTGAAAATTTGTAATTTTGTTTTTTTTAATATCATTATATACGATATTTATGTTGGGACCATTTATAAAAATCGATATTAGAATGTTATAGATTCAAAATCATATGTAATAGAATGTTACTAAATAGCTTAGAAGCTCGTAATCTCGATTAATATCAATACTAACGAACATATTTTGTTCGTAGAAAAACAATAATTATAACTCTATACAATAATATAATAAAAAGAATGTTACTAATTGAAGTACATTTTCAAATTCAAATGATGTTGTAATAATAGGAAATGTGAATAATTTTTTTCCATTAATAAAAACCCAAATAAATATATGAATTTACTGAATTTTTATTAATAAAGTCTTCCGTTTATAAATAATTCGTCGATATGCAAATTACTCCATACATCTAATCTTGATATGAACTGTTCTAATTCATACTTCTAAATTATTGAAACAATCTGATTACCAAAAAAAAAAAAAAAAAATTGACGGTAACACAAATTCCCATTTTTAGGTTGTAGCCCTGAGCTTATAAATATCAAGATGGGTAATCTATTTTAATGGATTGGATGAACTCAAACCAAGTTGAAAATTATATGGTTTGAGGTAATCCACATAAAAAAAAAAAATCGGTTCTTATATAAAATTTGATTTATGTTGGGATTTACGAATCGAATTCATTCCAATTCAAATCAATTTGTTTTGAATCGTTCATTCTAATTTAGATTTGATTATTTTTGGATCGATTCATTTTTATTATGAATGATCTTTTTTGATTCAAATCCGATTCATTTTGATTTAAATTCAATTTTTATTAAAAATTATTATTTTATAAAAAAATTTCGTTTTCATTTATTTTTATATTGGATCGAGGTACAATTTTTTCATTTTTAGTTAAAATATGTCATTCAATTTTATATGAAATTCGGTTATGTATTATTTGGTTCGAATGAATTCGATTATGATTTTGTTAATCTGATTAAAATGGTTATTTAATTAAGATTCATAGTCTTATTAGACTAAATGGGTTATAATCTAATTCATAAAATTCATTTAATTAAAATAACTCGAATAGATAATCCAAATCGAATTGTTCGCTCACAGAATTATTTTTGATGGGTGGACTTGGGAGAAACTACGAAAAAAAAAAGCCAACCCAAAATCAAAAGAAAAATTAAAACTAAAAATAATATAAAAAATTAAACGAAAATTACACTATTAATGTATTATTATTATTCTTCAAAATAAACAACTTTAACACAATATTATCGATGAATACGACATATTATCACCGTCATCCATATCTTCAAATCTTAACGGATCTATACATGAACCCTTATTTTTTTTAAATGGGCTTTAGATGGGCTGAGATCCAAGAACAAATTAAATTCATTTAAACAAATATTAGTCATGATCATTTTAAATGATAAGAAATGCACCGACTAATTTATTTTGATATGTTGTTGTTTTTTATTTATTTATATCAAATAGCAAGATTTGACTCTTTAAAAATATTAATTTTAAAACCAATGGTGGTATTTAGGGGTAACTACGGATCGGATATCCGAGATTTTTGAGGTATCCGTATCCGTATTTGATCCGCACAAATATTTGATTTTATTATCCGTATCCGATCCATAATTTCGGATATCCACAAATTCGGATATCCGTATCTGAATTAAAATATTATAAAATTTTAAATTAAAATTAAATAACAAACTAAAACGTAAATAAAATATATAATTTATTTAATATAAACGATATTTACAATTTAAAATGCATAATTTACACATTCCAAATCAATTCAAATACAAATACAATTATAATTTATCACATATAAATATATTCAAAATTTAAAATATTAAATATAATAAATTTTAATATTCAAAAGATTAAGAATCATAAACCTTAATATATATAAAATATTTTTTGAATATCCCTAAAAAATATGTAAATATTAAGTATTTTAAATCTACATACCAAATTATTCTTATATTTAATAATATTATTATAAATATGGATAAGAGGATATATCGGATAATTTAATTTTGATATTTGTATCCAACAAATATCCCCAAATAAATATCCGTATCCTATCCATAACGTCCGAATATCTGAATTTCGATTCAGATACGAATCGAATAACAAATTGATTCGATTTTTTCAGATATTTTGTCCACCCCTAGTGGTATTATCTTAGCTAGGGTTAGAAATATAAGAGAACGAAGTCTAAAATAAATGATGAACGGGAGCAAGGATCGACAACGTTGATGGGATTAAACATCATGCCATCGACTTTTACACGGTACTTGTGGGTACCTCTCCTGACTCATCATCAGTACTATCGGCCGAAATGCTGAGCAGCCTGCTCAACTTTTCAGCTCCCTCGGATTTGATTTCCAATATCTCAGTAATCCCAACAGCGGAGGAAATCAAAGCGACCATATATCGAATGCTTGAAAATAAAGCTCCGGGACCTGATGGCTATACGAAGGAGTTCTTTATCGGTGCATGGGATATTGTTGGTGGTGATTTGGTAGCAGTTGTCCAAGAGTTCTTCTACTCTGGAAAATTGTTGGGCCAAATCAATGCGACGATGATCACTATTGTTCCAAAGAAGCTTGGAGCTACAACACTTACGGATTTCAGACCGATAAGTTGTTGTAACCTAATGTACAAAGTCTTCTCTTCTATTTTGGCTCAAAGGCTTAAACCTATTTTGCAGGCTATGATTTCCCCGAATAAAAGGGCGTTCGTTAAAGGGCGCTTAATGCTGGAAAACATATTGATGGCAACAGAGCTAGTGAAAGACTTTAACCGAGCGCCAATGAGATGAAACAAACCATGGGCCACGGTTAAAGTCGACATCCGCAAGGTGTTCGATACACTACAATGGGAATTCATAATCTGAGTCTCGGAAGCGATCAAGCTGTCGCGACCCTACAGTGAATGGATCCGGACCTGCATCACCACCCCCAGCTTCTCTGTCTCCATTAATGGGAAGTTAGCGAGATACTTCAGAGGTGGTCGTGTGATGAGGCAAGGAGATCCCCTATCTCCTTACCTCTTCATCCTTGTTATGGAAGTTCTTACGAAACTCCTAGACACGGCTTACCAAGAAGGGCAACTTAAGCTACCACTGAAATGCAGGGATCCAAGCATAACGCACCTTGCATTCGCAGATGATATCATCATCTTCTCTGAGGCTGTTGAAGGATCGCTTAAGGAAGTGAGAAGACTGCTGGACAATTTCAGTCTTTTTTCGGGACTTACCATGAGCCCGGAAAAACAAGAGATGTTCTTAAGCGGAGCAACAGAGGAAGAACGAAGAAGGCTAAGTGCACTCATCAATTGCAGGCTTGGAAAACTACCTGTCTGCTACTTAGGGGTTCCTTTGTCGCCGTGTAAACCTTAGAAGTCATACTTCCGACAGCTAGTGGAGAAAGTAAAAGCTAAGTTGACATCTTGGACTTCCAAGATGATGTCACATGCTAGTAAACTGCAGTTTATTCGGACGGTGATATACGGTCAATTAAGCATCTGCAGCTTCACATTCCTGCGTCGACAGTTTTCCTATGGAAAAACTCGCTGCAAGGAACCTCGACAACGCATTCCAGAGTTGCATGGCAAGTAGTTTGCAGAACGAAGAAAGAGGGGGATTAGAGCTTCAAAGTCTTTTGGTTCTTAACATAGTCCACCGCCTAAAGTTGATCTGACTCCTTCACCAATAACGAGGATCACTTTGGGCGAGATGGATGAGGTTAAACCCGCTGAAGAGGAAGGGCTATTGGGACATGACACCATCGTCGACACACTCATGGAACCTGCGCAAGCTGCTAGACATGATAATGGAAAGAAGATATATGATTGCTCCTTATTAGCATATGATTGCATGTAATCTTGTATAACATTATTTCTTTCCTTTAGCAACAAGTCACACGGTTGTATATATCCCTAGGGTTATTCTAATGGAAATCTATCAAGACATTTCTTATTCATATGGTATCAAGAGCCTAAGCCGTCACACGACGCAAACCCTATTCTGATTTTTTTTCCGGCCACCATCACCCATGGCTTCCGAAACTACTCCTAATGCGACCACCAACACCACCACTCATCCCCAGGATCATGTTACACCGTTCAATTCCAACAACCCACAATCAACGTTGATTCATGTTAACGTTACTAACGTTAGCAAACTTACGGCTCTCAATTACGTGACTTGGAGTGTCCAAAATCCGTGCGTTGCTTCAAGGGTATAACCTTGAAGAATTTCTCGACTCAGCCAACAGTTCGACAGCCACAATTACCACCAACCATGCTGTCACGGATAACCCTGCTTATCCACCATGGTTCCGTCAAGACAAACTTGTCTTCTCAGCACTGCTTGGCTCGATCTCAGATTCTTGTCAAGCTCTCATTGTCGCTGCCCCGTCTTCTGTTGTTGCCTGGGCAACTCTTGCTTCAACCTATGGCCGGTCAAGTCGTGGCCATATCAAAGCCATCAAAGAGCAACTTCGTCATCACTCGAAAGGTACCAAAACTATTGACGAATATATGCATTTTTACAAGGTGAAAGGAGACGAACTTGCTCTCCTCGGAAAGCCGCTGGACCACGAAGATTTGGTCGATCTCATCCTTGCTGGCCTCGGAGAGGAATTCAAAGCCATCAAGGATGTTGTCAATGCAAAGGATACCACAATTTCCTTTGTTGAGCTTCATGAGAAACTTATCAGCGCAGAAGTGGATCTCATTGCCAATACATCCGATGCGACATCACTGCCAATCACGGCAAACATGGCTCAAAACAAACAACGCCCACAATGGAAGCATCACAGCCGACCAACTCAATCTGACTCTTGTCCATTGCGCTACAACACATCACAGTCGAGGGGTTACCAAGGTAAGTACCAACTCTGTGGCACTCTTGGTCATAGTGCACGCACCTGTCGTCTGCTCCGTGACCAACAGGCCTCCCTCCCACGCTCGCGCTCTCTGCAGCAACACCAGCCTCGCCCATCTGCTCCTTGGCAGCCTATGGCACATCCCGCAGCTCTCTCCAACTCCTCACCGTCCTGGTTGCTGGATTCTGGTGCCTCTCACCATATCACAACCGACTTGAACAACCTATCGCTCCACGAGCCATATCATGGAGGTGAGGAAGTTATCATCGGCGACGGTACCAACCTTCCAATAACACACTCTGGTTCTATGTCTTTACCCTCTCTCTCTCGTTCTCTTAAGCTTGACAATGTTCTTCTTGTCCCAGCCATACATCAGAACCTTATCTCCATTCATAAACTATGCTCTTCTAATAATTGCTCGGTTGAATTTTTCTCTACCCACTTTCAGGTGAAGGATCGCTTGACGGGAACAACGTTGGTTCGAGGGCAGCTTAAAAACGGTGTCTATGAATGGCCTTCCGTGTCCACCAAGTCATTGTCTCCTTCCCCACAAGCTTCTCATACTATCAAAACTTCTCTTTATCAATGGCACCATAGGTTAGGCCATCCATCGAGTGATGTTCTTACTAAGATTGTTTCTAGTTTTTCACTTCCCTTGTCAAACTCCTCTACGATTCCCTTGTCTTGTGATTCATGCTACATCAATAAAAGTCATAAACAACCCTTCTCCAACTCTAGTGTGTCTTCCTCTCGGCCTCTTGAGGTTATTTTCTCCGACGTCTGGACCTCCCCTATTCTATCCGTCGATGGCTACAAATATTATGTAGTGTTTATCGACCATAAAACGCGATACACTTGACTATATCCTCTCAAGAGGAAATCCGATGTTCATAGCGTTTTTGTCACGTTCAAAACCTTGGTCGAAACTCGTTTTCACACAAAGATTGTGTCTTTATACTCCGACAATGGAGGGGAGTACATTGCTCTCAAATCGTTCCTTACCACCCATGGGATATCTCACTTTACAACTCCTCCTCACACTCCCGAACATAACGGGATTTCCGAACGCAAACATCGACACATCGTCGAAACGGCTCTTACCCTACTATCCCATGCTTCCATACCAATTTCGTATTGGAGCTTTGTCATTCCGGCAGCAGTTTATCTAATAAATCGCATGCCTACACCCACCCTTAGTCATAGCTCCCCTTATCATCTTCTCTTTGAGACACCACCGAACTATTCCAAACTCCGGATCTTTGGGTGCCTTTGTTTTCCTTGGCTTAAACCATATTCAAAACACAAACTAGAATCTCGATCTAAACCTTGTGTCTTTGTTGGATACTCTCTCACTCAAAGTGCATTTTTATGCCTTGATGTCTCATCCTCTCGTTTATACGTTTCGCGACATGTTGAATTTGTCGAAACAGATTTTCCGTTCCGTCGTCTCACCCAACCTCAGCCCACACCTACCCCTTCTAACTCACACTCTTCCTCGCCCTTGTCGACTCTAGTCTGGCCATGGACACCGTACACGCCGCCTGGACCAGCACAGCCCCTGTCAAGTGGTTCTCCATCAACACCACCTTCTTCGTCACACTCATCAACTCCACCAAATGCCAGCCCTCATACTGCTCCTCCTCAATCTCCACACCATACATCTGCAGTCAATCCTACTCAACCACTTTCACCTCCAGAAAATCTGAATCCACCATCACCTCCCAACTAAATCGAGCCCACTATCCCTGTTTCTTCCTCACCAAGAAACCATCACCCAATGATGACTCGCTCGAAAAACAATATTACCAAACCCTCATCCAAACTCAGCCTCCTCACCACCATTTCCTCTACCCAAGACATAGAACCAACTTGTGTGTCACAGGCCTTGAAAGACGATAAATGGAGAGCAGCCATGGCAGAAGAATTTACGGCATTACTCAACAATGGTACGTGGACTCTTGTTCCACCGCATTCCTCTTATAATTTGGTTGGTTGCAGGTGGGTTTTCCGTCTAAAGCGACGTCCAGATGGTTCCATCGAGCGCCATAAAGCCCGACGTGTCGCAAAGGGCTTCCACCAACGTCCGAGTCTTGATTATACCGACACCTTTAGCCCGGTGATCAAACCGGCGACGATCCGTGTCATTCTCAGCCTTGCCGCTTCACGTGGCTGGGATCTTCGATAAATCGATATCAACAATGCCTTCCTTCAAGGAACATTACATGGCGATGTCTATATGGTTCAACTCCAGAGATTTGTTGATCACGATCGACCATCGTATGTTTGCAAGCTCAACAAAGCCCTATACGGTTTAAAGCAAGCGCCACGAGCTTGGTTCACCGAGCTACGTCTATTCCTCCAACAATCCGGGTTTTTCAACTCCCTTTCCGACTCCTCTCTTTTCATATTTCGGAGTTGTGGTGTTGTGATCTACTTGATTGTATATGTGGATGACATCATAATCACAGGAAGTCACTCGGATGAAGTCAACAAGTTCATCAATGTCTTATCATAAAGATTCAGCCTCAAAGACCTCGGACCGCTATCCTTCTTCCTTGGAATCGAAGTATCCAGATCCAAGATGGGCATTCTCCTCACACAGCGCCGTTATGCCCGGGATCTCCTTGCTCATCACAACATGTTGCATGCCAAACCGGTTCCGACGCCACTAGCTTCTACCACTCATCTCTCTGCATGTTCGAGTACTCCATTGACTGACTCTACTAAATACCGTCAGGTGCTTGGTGGGCTTCAATATCTCCTCCTCATGCGCCCGGATATTACTTTCGCTGTCAACAAACTTTCGCAATATATGTCTCGTCCGACCGAAGATCACTGGAAAGCATTGAAAACTGGAAAGCATTGAAAAGAATCCTTCGGTATGTTGCTGGAACAACTTCTCATGGCATTGTATTCCATAGCTCATCCCCTCATACACTTCATGCTTACTCGGATGCGGATTGGGGGGGAGACAAGGAATATTTCGGATCAACAGGGGCTTATATTGTCTACATGGGCAGAAATCCTATCTCATGGAGCTCGAAGAAGCAGCGTTTTGCGGCTAAATCTTCAACGGAGGCTGAGTACAAGTCCGTTTCGACTACAGCTTCCGAGGTTCAATGGTTGCGTTCCTTACTCACCGAACTCGACATATCCATCTCCACCACACCCGTCATATATTGTGACAATGTAGGCGCGACATATCTTGCGGCTAATCTGGTTTTCCATTCCCGAATGAAGCATGTCGCCATCGATTACCATTTTATCCGAGGCTTGGTCCAGTCCAACCAACTACGTGTGGCCCATGTCTCGTCTTCTGACCAACTAGCCGACGGACTGACAAAGGCTCTACCTCGCTCTCGGTTTGAACAACTTCGGCTCAAGATTGGCGTCGTCCCCGACACCCATCTTGCGGGGGCGTAATGGAAAGAAGATATATGATTGCTCTTTATTAGCATATGATTGCATGTAATCTTGTATAACATTATTTCTTTCCTTTAGCAACAAGTCACACGGTTGTATATATCCCTAGGGTTATTCTAATGGAAATCTATCAAGATATTTCTTATTCATACATGAAAGTAATACGTAGGAGCTTCCTGAAATCGAGCATTAGAGATGGAAAGACTACCAAATTCTTCCATGATAATTGGTTCGAATTGGGCCATTTAATTCATGTTGTCGGTGATGCAGATCCCTCTCTTATGCGGGTGCCGAGAGACAGCTCTGTCTGGGATACGACTGTCAATGGGTGTTAGAACTTGCCAGCTGCAAGGTCTGATGTAGTCCAGGGAGTCCTAATCGCCCTGATGAACATCCAGGCCCTACCAACCAGTGAGGCTCGGACAAACGCCTCTGGAAGCATGCTATCGATGACTTTAAGGAATGGTTCTTAACGTAAAAAACATGAGAGCTAATAAGAGAGAAGCACCATCATGTGGCTTGACACAAGTTGGCATGGTTATGTCATTCAATCCCGTGATTTAGCTTCCTTCATTGGGAAATTGTTCTCCACAGATTACTGAAAAGAGATCGTCTTATGACCTGGGGGCTAGGATCTAAGACCGTCTGCGTATTGTGTGAAGCTGCGGCTGAAGCCAATGGACTGTAGCTTCAGCTATGAGATTTGGAAATCCTATGCTCAACCGTTCTAGTCCTCTCCTCCGAGGGAACTTCAGCATTGTCATATCTGGATAATGAATCAAGGTAATGCGAACTCAAAGCACGAGCGCTTGATTGTAATGAACCTGCTGCAAGTTGTGATGTACCATCTTTGGAAGGAACGGAATTACCGAATTTTCAGGAATTAAAAGCGGGATCAGCTGCAAGTCTGTAAAGGAGTGGACCGCACTATGAGGGATCTGTTATTCAATATCGACAGAAAGGGAAAAAGCAAACTACAAACTACTTGGAAGATTGGTTCTACCGCACCACTGATAACCATTAGCATATTCACTTAAGTTTTAGGAACGGATGTAACAGCTAATGGTCGCTTTTGTTGATCATTTGCGTATGGATATTCTTTTATAAGGCTGCTATTTTTGTAAACCTCATCATTCTTGGTATATATATGATTAATATTTTACAAAAAAAATGATGAACTTTATAACAGTAAATTATTATTTTTTTCACATCAAGCATAAAAAATAAAGGAAACAGACAAAAAAGGTTTGGAGGCTTTTGTGGGTACATTTTTCTTTAACAAAAACAATTTATTATTGTACGAATCAGTCAGCCCATCATTCGTTGACCCATTGGAGGAGCCATCATCTCCTGCTGTCGAGCCATCTGTTGTCTTTGCACGTTTCCAATCCATCCTTTTTCCAATATAAAAAAAAACATACAGCATTATTGTAAAATTAACAAAAAACATGTATATGTATATGTATATATATATGTATATGTATATGTATACGTATATGTGTTGGAATTGTAAAATACCGATAGAAGGGTCGAGGCCTCGGTGCTTGAGTTCTCTGTACTCTTGGCAGAGGGCACAATACTCACAGAAACAATGGGTGATCCAGTCGGGAGCCGGAGCATCCGGTAACCCGTATTTGCTTCGGATCTTGGCCCTGAACGTGCACGAGTACACGCACGGTATCCCGAATAGACAGCATATCAGTCCGTACAACATTCCAGCCGTTCCGCAACCTGCATCAACCGCCAACCGGTGGCGGACGGAGAAATATTTGTAATTGGGAGCCATAGTTTAATTATGAGACATTTAATAGTTTCTTTTAAAAAATTTATACGAAATTAATTTTTTTTATTAAATAATTAGGTTACTTGTATATTTATACCAACGTAGCGGATCCGTTGACCAAATGAAGAAAAGATTCGGGATATTACATTGGTTTTTTCCAATAAATTACAAGTATTTAGTATGATAAATTTCATTTTCGGCAAAAATTTGATGGGAATATAGAACCCTCGAGTTGTAAACATAGAATCGTCCATATATATAACACTTGTGAGCTTAATATAAAATCAGATCTTTACGTTATAATGATATATATATATATATATATTCCTAGATAATTTTGAGAGTTTACATGATGATATTTAGGTTGAATTTTCTTATTATATTCGAAGTGATTTTTACCAGTCGTCCCTTGATCGGTGACCTCTGCGATCTGTCCAAATGTGACGAAGGGGAAGCAGCATGTGATGAGAGCTGTTCACATACACATCATAATGCCCGAAAATGTCAAATAATAAGAATAATGAATCATAAGTCGAAAACATAAACGACAAACATATAACGAAATTATATAGAAACATTCTCTAACCATTTTCAGGGTTGTCCATGCAATCGAAGAGATGAGAACTCCAATTCTGCTGAACGTTGCCGATCGGTGGTGCGGTTGGTTGGTTAACCGGTATACCATCGGTGTAATGTGGGTTAACCGGAGGATATTGGTAACCGGTTGTTGGTTGAACCGGAGTTGGGTGTGCATGGAACGTTGGATTGTCGTGTTTCGTTTGTGGAGGATGATCCGCCAGTGCTGTATCCTGATTTTGTTTTATTCGACCCATTTTGATCTTGTTCTTGATTTTGTCGGGTTTTGTGAATGAAGCTTTGGGTTATATATATATAAGGAAACTCTTATGCAACTTGAACAAGTTTGGACTTTTTCTTAATTCAGATATTGGTTGTGTTTCTTTTTTATATGAGCCATGTTGTCATGTTGTGTATATAATAATAATAATAATAATAATAATAATAATAATAATAATAATAATAATTTATTATTGATAAGCAGATATAGCATTTTGCAGCATGAAAATATACTTGGATATGTGTTCATGCATAATTTTCTAAAATAAAGATAAAATAATAATAATAATAATAATAATAATAATAATAATAACAACAACAATAATAATAATAATAATAATAATAATAATAATAATAATAATGATAATAATAATACAGTAATGTACAAGATAATGAGTTTATATATAATTCATATTTGGAATTGTATTGTAGGTTGACAATAAAACTCTAATGTACAAGATAATGCTGCACATATAGCTATTGACTTTGGGAAATGATAAAATTTGGTGTATTGGGATTTTTTTAGTTTTTATAATTGAATATAAAAATTTTTAAGCATTTAATAATTGTATTGACTATTGACTTTGGAATTCATATGCACATGGGATCGGGAGAGGTTAGAACTAGAACATGGTTAGAGAGTTACATGGATTTGACTTGTTACTAAAAAAATAAAGCTAAAAAGTGAGCCCAGAATCTGGCCCATATATAAGCCCATTAATACTTCTATTGATCATTTATTCAATTTGTGGGCCCAATTTGGATAAAATTATAACTCAATACGTTATTGGTATGAAAAGCCGACCAAATAACATATAAACCTCAACTCATTTTTAATAAAAAATACGGTTGATATATATATATATATATAATAGAAATTACATTGGAACTCTTGTATATCAACACTCTACTAAACTAATAAAAGGAAAGTGAACTTTACAGTCTCAACGAGTCTATAAAACGACGGAAAACAGATATTTATTTACTCTCTCATGTTTCATCTTACATTGATGTAAGAAACAATAGAAATATATATTTTTCATTTAAAATATTAATTTTCTAAAACAGTATTATTTATTTTTATTCTTTTTTTTTGTTTAATTCTAGGCTGACGAATTTGATGCTATAAAATATATCTAATTAATTTTATATAGCATTTAGTTTAGATCATTATATTGGATTTCTTCGATTTTAAAAATGCCTAATGGCTGTAACAGTTGACCGAGAAAGAGGCAAAAAACAACCAACTAGAAAATGAGCCCAACACATGGCCCATTACAAAAAGTATCAAGCTTTACGTGTAGACCATTTAGTATTGCTCTGAAAAGACGCAAAGGGTAACCCCTTAGCATCGAAATTACGGTTTTACCACCAGAACTCGAATGTATCCGCAGATCCGATCGGAAACCAAAATATTTTCCAGGAATTTGTTTTCTCGGGAAATTTCGAGGAAGAACTCGTTTTCTGTTAAACATTGTTCGTGCTGTATTCTTCGGGTAGCGGAGACACCGGAAATTCGTGTAGTATGGAAGCCTCGCAAGATGGATTGGAGCGAGACAAATCAACTCCTTCGACTTCGCCTATTCCCGTCGTCACCAATTTCTGGAAAGGTATCTCGCAGATTTATCTTCGCATCTCTCTTCTCGATTGCTTTGGGTCTCAATGAAGTTTGGGAAGAAAGCTTGATCTCGTTGGAGAAATTTCCATTTCAGTTTGTTTTGATTTCGATTATGTAGTGGAAATGTGGAAAGCTGCTTTGAATTTGTTGAGTTTATCACTGGAAAGTTCGGGAAAAAGCAACGATAATTACATGCAATAGGATTGGGATTTATGAAGCAGGTTTTTTTACGTTCTGGTCATCTGATCTATGCATTTAGGCGGTTAGCGCTAAAGATTTTTGGCATAGATAATTTTTGGAGTTCGTGCTTGTGGAGGGTTATTTTCGATCAGTATGTTGTTTTGTATGTTACTACCCAATTCAAATTAGAGCCTCTGCTACGTGAACTGTGTATCATTAGGTTGCGGTTTTAGAGCTCCCCCGAAGTTTAGCCACTCTCTTTTTAGTTCGGAAGAAGTTACCAATCGGTTATGTCTTGGTTATACGGCAATCTACTTCATTGTCGGAAATCAATTGTGTCTCGGGCTATGTTGTGCTTTGGCTTTGGACATTTTTATGTTTTAGGGGACGCCAAATTCTCTGGACAATTTGTGCTTCAGAAGGAATAGTGATTTCTGTGTTATGTGTGTGTCTATGAGATGTGTTCCCTTGTCATTGGTTCGGTACTGCTCATTGCTTAGTTGAAGATTTAGTATTGTCAGGTGCAGTTTACCTGGTTCAGTAGACACCCATGGACGAGCCTTAGTGATTTACCAATCTTTGAATTATCTGTTTGCAGAATTTGATTTGGAGAAGGAAAAAAGTGTGCTTGATGAGCAAGGGCTTAGAATAGCTGAAAATCAAGAAAACAGCCAGAAGAACCGACGAAAGCTTGCAGAGAGCACGCGAGGTACTGTTTGTTCCAACTTTCATTTTGGAAGTTGCTAAGCACTTCAATTTTCTCTACTAGGAGTTCAAAATTGTTCCAGCTTTGATAAATTGATCATATTGATATGTTTATGCGACTTAGCCAGAGGAATATAATGGGATATGTAGTTTAACAAAAAAAAATAAATATAATGGGATATGTAATATATTCTATGCCTTTTCCCTCTAACAGATTTCAAGAAAGCATCGCCAGAGGAAAAACTTAGCATGTTTAATTCTTTGCTCAAGGGTTATCAAGAAGAAGTGGATAATATTACCAAGAGGGCAAAGTTCGGGGAGAATGCTTTTCTTAACATCTATCAGAAACTCTATGAGGCACCGGATCCTTATCCTGCTCTTGCTTCGATCGCTGTAAATCTCCATTTACCTAAGCCTAATATACTTTACAAACTTTACAAAGAGTTTTATTGCCCGTATGATATGCAACTTGCCTGACCAATTTCTGTTCTCTAGGAGCAAGATCGTAAATTATCTGAACTGGAATCTGAGAACCGCAAAATGAGACTTGAACTTGAGGAATTCAGGACAGAAGCAACTCATCTGAAAAACCAGCAGGCGACAATAAGACGACTTGAAGAAAGGAACCGCCAGCTGGAGCAACAGGTCAGTATGCTTAACATGTCAAGAGGATCTATTAATAAATAAACTAAACTAAACAACTGTGAACTGTTTGAAGCACCTTTTGTATATGCTTGAGCGTATTCCTGGAGTAAAATGCAAAGTTATTAAATAGAGCATAAATATGGGCTTTCTAGAACTGGTTATTCATCTCATATTACAACATTTTATTCTGAAGATAACAGTGAAGAATTCTGGTTGGATTTTTGTATTCAGATGGAGGAAAAAATAAAAGAGGTTGTTGAGATCAAGCAAAGAAATCTTGCTGAGGAAAATCAGAAAACACTGGAGGTTTTAAAAGAGAGGTAAATTATTTCCTTTCTTCTGATCATGGGGTGGTCACTCGGGAGTTTTTGAGCATGCATCAATTTTGCACGTTTTGAGCTAATACAGGGAGCAAGCTTTGCAAGATCAGCTGAGGCAAGCACAAGAAAGTGTCTCCACTATGCAAAAATTGCATGAGCTTGCACAAAGCAAACTTTTTGAACTCCGCGCTCAATCAGGTTATGCTTTAAATCATCACAATATGGATTTGTCCACTTTCTTCGTTAATCATCTCGAAGCTCGTTTTAGGTCATCCTGCAGTTCGTCTCACTTGCTCTATTTTGTTTCCTTCCCTCTTTTTCTTTCCTTTTGTTTGTATTACTTTTCTAAAACTTCAGACGAAGAAAGGGCTGCAAAGCATTCAGAAGTTAATTTACTGATGGATGAAGTGGAGCGTGCTCAAACCCGACTCCTTACTCTTGAGAGGGAGAAGGTTGATTTCATAACTGTCTATGGATACCATATTTTAAGTAACTAGCTTTAGTTGCCTGGACCTTGTAACAACTATCTCAAGAAGTAAGATTTGCTCTGTAATATCAAAGAGGATAAATTAGACATGATTTTAAAGCTGGAATATTTTGTTTCGGTTTCTCATGTAGTTGCTGATGCAATTTAACGTCTTAAAGTTGTTGCTTTGCTGCAGGGACTTCTGCGCTCTCAGCTGCAATCAGCTAATGAAGATACAGAAGACAAGAAAAGGTGAGGTACTTGATATTTGTGCACCCAGTTACCTAGCGAAGACCTGAATTTCAAGGTGGCCTTACAATAGTTTAATTTCATACTCCACTCTTTGCCCTGCAGTGACAACCTCAATTCAAATAGTATCCTGGAGAACTCTTTAACTGCAAAAGAGAAGATTATTTCTGAGCTAAACATGGAAATTCACAATATTGAAACCGCTTTATCAGATGAACGTGAACGTCACGTTGCGGAGATAAAAAAGTTGAATTCAGTGCTCAATGAAAAGGTGCTGCCTTGCTATGTTTGTATACTGACATTGAGCTTTATACTTCCCAGTAAAGGTTTCTCTTCGTCTATTATCTTCCATGCTAATGATGGCCTGCTGTCCTCTACTAAACTAGGATACCATCATTGAAGAGATGAGGAAAGAGCTACAAGAAAGACCAACAGCAAAATTAGTTGAAGATCTACGTAAAAAAGTGAAAATTCTGCAGGTAAATCTCTACTTCTGCTAGCGTTTGGCGCTTCTTCATGTTCCATTTTTTTTCCTTCACTTAGTGATGCGTTGCCATAGATCTTTTATCTTATGCTTACTCATAACCATGTTGTAGCGTATAAGTAACATATTGCATATTAGGCTGTAGGTTACAATTCAATTGAGGCCGAAGACTGGGATGCAGCTACAAGTGGTCAAGAGATGAGCAAAATGGAGTCGCTGCTTCTTGATAAAAACAAAAAAATGGAACATGAGCACACCCAATTAAAGGTACATATAGTCTACTGCATAAACTCCCATCAGTAGTTTTATCTCTTCGTCGTTCTCTCCTTTCCAATGACATAAACATATTATTTAACCATACAGAATCAAAGTTAGAAATTCATTCTCTTGGTTGGTTTTAAATGTTTCCTATCCCAGGTCCAATTTTCTGAGAGAACAGCTTTGCTTGAGAAAGCTGAAGAGAAGGTAGAAGAACTGACAGCTAAGGTTAATGAACAGCAAAGGCTGATACAGAAGTTGGAGGATGACATTTCGAAGGTACTCAAGAGTGATGGTACTTTTTAAAGTATCTCTATTTGATTTTTTTTTTTTTGCTCCCGTGGTTTTTCTTTGCATTTGTTATGTGGTATAGCATTCCCTGAATCACCTTTCGAGAACAAAACAATTCATGTAGATGTGCTTCCCACCGGAAAACCACATCAAAGACTTTTGGTATTAAACTGTTCTTTACTCGTATGCAGGGTTACAGTTCAAAAGATCGAAAGGGCTCTCTATTTGATGACTGGGAATTCTCAGAAGCAGGTGGTACTACTGAGCAGTCCGAGGTACTGACTAATTACTCTCTACCCTATTTTTTCCTCTGTTATTTACATTCTCAAGCAACAAGCATGACTCGGAGACGGCCCACAAAATAAAAAGAAAAATAGAAAGGAGATATGGTTTCACAATTACGATCTGCATTATCAATGTAGCATATAGACTTTTATAAGGAATGACGGAGAGTATGGGCCACTTATGTGTCAAAAGAAATAATATATATATAGATAGATAGATAACTTTGATTCAATGACAATATTACTACACCTGTAGGAACGAGTTTTCCATCTCAGGAAAATTAAATTTCATAAATGTTTTAGTTGTACCCTGAATGAATAACTTGTCAGTGCCATGCAAAATCCTCTGGCTCTTATGACTATCTGTTTCCTTTTCTTTTTAGCACCCAGAACAGAAACATGTTTCATCTGATCAAGATCAAAGCTCAATGCTAAAAGTTATCTGTAGCCAGAGGGATCGGTTCCGAGCACGATTACGGGAGACAGAAGAGGTGCAGTACATATATTCTTTGTGACAACTCCCCTCTCTGAGGCCTGGTTTTATTTCCTTGAACTGAATATGCCTGACTCTTCTTCATGTCTCAGGAACTAAGGCACTTAAAGGAGAAGATAGGTTTGTTAACAGATGAACTTGAAAAGACCAAAGCTGACAACGTCAAACTCTATGGAAAAATCCGTTATGTGCAGGACTATAACCACGAGAAAGTTGTTTCCCGTGGGTCGAAGAAAGTATGTGTGTCTTCTACATTCCCCTTCCCCTTTCTGTCGTGTGCTCTTCTTCTTTGTCGTCGTACTTGGGTTTCTGTGGTTAATAAGATCTTCTCAACTTTCAGCTTGTGGAAGATCTCGAAAGTGGGTTCAGCTCGGATGTGGAATCAAAATACAAGAAAATATATGAGGATGATATCAACCCTTTTGCTGCATTCTCGAAAAAGGTATATATATATTACACACACCATCATGGTGTAGAGACAGTAAAATCAATTTTAGAGCAGAAAATGCTCTTCTGCACAGTCTCTGGCATATTCAGCGTAGTGCCTGTTCTCCTATGACAACAGTAGCAACACTACAATGCTATTTTCAACTATACCACCCTTCTCTCAACATCATTATACCGAGTTTCACTTTCACATCTCGAAATGCTTCAAAACATGTCCTTTTTTTGCATCGGTTCTTTTATTTTTCCAATCACCATTTGTAATGACTAACTATATATATATATATTCTCCAATTAGGAAAGAGAGCAACGGATCAAAGAGTTGGGCATCAGAGATCGGATTACACTCAGCAGTGGACGCTTTCTTATGGGAAACAAGTAGGCCCTATCCTCTTGTCTTTCAATCTCGCACAACGCAAAATATCTGTAAAAAGGAAACAAAAGATATTTCCTCTATTTATTCCTACGTACCTACGTTATGGATCCTTGCAGATACGCAAGAACATTCGCATTCTTCTACACGATCGGACTGCACATACTCGTTTTCACATGTCTCTACCGCATGTCAGCTCTCAGCCATCTCAGGTAATAATTCTACAAGCTCTGTTTTCTTCTTCTCTCTTAAGGGGAAAAAAAAAAAGGATTGTTGATGTTTATTTTGTAATGGAGCAGTAATGGAGCTGAGGAGACTCTCATGGCAGAAACAACCACAAATCTCCCACATGCTCTTTAACCTCCTTTCCCTCCCCATTCTCTCTCTCTCTCTCTTTTTGTTTCTCTTCTCAAGGTAAAGGTGTGAATGGGATTTTATGGGTTTTTTTGTGTATGTGGGAATGGAGAGACTTACATAAATGGAAATAATAATACAGAGATGTACGGTCGAACTTCAGGATTATATTTTATGACATGAGAGATGACTAAGGCCCACGTCGAGATGAAAGGGTAATAATAATCACGTGAGGGATGGCCCACGGTTGGTGGGATGGTTTAATCGGACGTAGCATCTGATGTGAATTTGCATTCTCTGCCACTTGAGAAAGTAGTAAAAAAATTGACCTAAACGACGAAATAATAATGAGGCCAATTCGCCCGTGACTTTATGGCAAAGATTCATAATCATCCATCGCCACCTTGACCCCTCAAAAAGCCACCGTCGTCTATTCTAACGACTCGTGTCTCACATGCATGAGACGTAGAAATTTACTATAAATGCCCCTCAACTTCCACGTTAAGAAAGGACAAAGTGGAACCTCATTTCAATGGCCCATACCGAAAGCTTTTCTTTGGTGAATGCCCCTCCACTTTTATCTAAACTTTATTACGTTTCTTTCACAAACTTATATATATTACATTTCCCACCCTAAAAATGGTATAACTATCTCAATCAGCCCCACATGTTTAAAATCTCCAAAACTAACCCTGTAAACATAAGAACTAGAAAAAAGAAAATGCACACTTGTAAAAAAATAAAATAAAAAAGCTTTACTGTAAATAAAATCACCGGGACAGGAGGAGAGGACTTTTATTTTAGTGTTTTTAGCATTTATTCGTTGCGAATCCGACAAGGTTATTTGCCAAGTCGAAGCTGACACGTGTCCCCTGCTGCTGCACGTTGCCGACGATCGAGAGCGGCGTCGACGTCGGAGCGAAGGCGAAGCAGAAAGTTCCGGCGGAGTCGACGGGTATTAGGTAATTCTTCGCCGGAAGATCGAGGTACTTTCCGTCGCCGAAGTGGAGAGCCACCGTCGGGACTTTGACTGTGGAGAGAGACGAGAAGTCGTAACAAGTGTCGAAGAGCGAGATGCTCGTCGTCGCCGATTTCAGGTGGGTGGTGAGTCGCGCGAACGCGTCGCGGAGCGAGTTGTAGGCCTGAGTCTGCAGCCGAGTCACGGCGGGTCCGCAGTCGACGATGCCTCCGCCTCTTCCTGATTCGTCGACGGCGAACACTGACGGCGGGATCGCCACCGAACGTCCACCGACGCTGAAGCCTGTTAGACCCAGGTAGTAGAACGTATCGATCTTGTGGTTGCGGAGGAGAGGAGCGGTCACTTCACCACCGAGTCGGGCCGAGTTGAAGTCGAGGCTCCAGGATCTGCCCGAGTCACGGTCCACGAGGCAGTACGAAAACGACTTAGCTTTGAGCTGAGAGGTCAGAGACAAAGCACCACCGCCGAGACCGAGTAAACCGGCGGATCCAACGAATAAGCCCTCGTTGTCGTGCCCACACCCCAAAGCGACGCGGTTAACCTTGCCCGAGTTCCCAAACGTCACCGTTTCGGTGGCGAACTCGCCGACGGTGAACGACCCATCACCGTAACTGACCTGATAGAGACATTTGTCGGCCCGACAGGCGGAGATCTCGAGAGCTGAGCACTGCGGCGAAGCACAGGAGAGAGACGAGTACGAGGAAGACGAAGACGGGTTGAAAACGGGATCGGATTGTTGGTAGCAATCGGAGCAAGGCTGACACTGGATCCAGTTCACGTCGCTTCCTGTGTCGAGAACCATGAACATATCCTTGGGTGGAGTCCCGACTCCGATTCGTGAGAAGTACTCGCCGCTTCCTTGGCTCGCTCCGGAGACAACCGGAGTGCTCAGATCCTCCGGTCGGATCCTGGTATCGTCGTCATAAGCGGGTTGGAGCTTGGATCTGTCGACACCCTCGATCGCGAGTCTGACTTTGGAGGCGATGCCGGCTACTCGCGCCGAGTCACGCTCGAGCCGAGCCAATACCAGGCTCCTGTAGTCTCTGTGTTGCGATTCAAGGAGGGTCTCACGAGAATGGAGCTCCAGAGAGAATGAAGAGGCATTGAGGAAAACCGGGTCGGATTCCGATTCTGGACTGCGGTTGATATTCGTCCGGGTCGGGTGGAAGGATAGGATTTGGTGAGTCTGGTGGAGAGACGAAACGACGTCGAGGATGGTCGTTTCGTAGGGACGGGAGAGGGAGCGAGAGAAGGCGGTGGTCGAGGCGAGGAGAGAGAAAACCACGGCGAGGAGAGAGAAAGATGGCGAGGAAGCCATTGTTAACGGCGATGATGACTTGAGTGAGGTGAGAGTGGAAGAGAAGACGGGAAGCAATGGATTTATTTATGGAAAAGTTTCGCAGACAGGACCAAGCAAAGCAATGACTTGTGTTCTTTTGCCAACATACATATTACATATTATTATTATTTTCACTTTGGCCCGTAAAAATGGCTAAAATCTATTTTGTATTGCAAATTATGATTAGTAACGTTAGAATTATATATAACATAGATTAACATTTGTCTGATTGTTTTATATTATATCAATTATTCTGTACTACCATTAATCATGGTGGGCTTTACATGGATTATTGTGTCATGATCCATTTTTACGTTTCTGAAATGCAATTTCCTATCTTTTTACCATATTCAAATTAACTTGACGACATGAGATACTTACCAATAGTAGTAACAATCGTAGATATTTCATAATAACAATTAAGATAATTAAACAAAAATCTTTCTTATTTACCATTTCAAAACCTCATATACACACTGAAAGTAATTTATAATTAATATATTAAATTGGATATTATTTTAAGACATAACTAATATTTTATTTATCAACCCTCCTTTAAGGCAATTAATTAGTCCTCATAAATCTTCTAGAAAGAACAAAAAAGGGGTATGGGGTTTTAGATATAATTTAATGTAATAAATGGCTGAATTGTTAGATGAGAGGTTCGATTTATTTCCTTTCTCCCACATTTAATGGTAACGTGCCCTTTTTACTTTTAGTTTGTCATATCTCATTTACTTTATCTTTTTCTTTCTTAATCCTTTTTTTTCCTGTAACCACTTTATTCATTTTTATTCATTATTTGGTCATTTGTATTTTATCTTCAATGCAAGATCTAACAAAAAAAAACACACTAAGTCACAATATTACAAAAATAATGCCAATTTTTAATTTGACCAAAAAAAATATATCTAAATGTGATAGAAAAATACACAACTTCTAAAATCAACAAAAATTTTCTACAAGAAGTTGATTCTAGGATTTAGACTCGTTAGGTTACTTTTTAAACGAACTAACTCGATTCACCTATTTTACTAGTTAAATGAATCGGTTTTGTGAATAAAAAATATAACATTTTTATTTATAGTATTAAAAATTTGTGAAAATAATTTTCTTAAATAAATTTTTTTTTAAAATTAACTCAAGATAAAACTCGAGTTCAGTGAAAACTTTGTGCTGGTTATTTAGAAACTGTTTTTAAATTTATCGGGTTTTCATTTATGACGTTTATCCTGACCTATCAAACGGATAACTTTGATCATTTGTAACGTCTTCTTCATACCAAATTGCTAATTACGACGTTAGACGGCTGTTTTTTAAACTTGTATCAAGATTGATTCCTACATATTGGTTAGAAATTGCAGTTTTTACAGACGGAATTAGAACAAAAAATCTTCTCAATTTGGGTAGTTCTATCGGTGAAAGGGAAACGCAAAACGGTTGTCACATCCTGGATTTAAACATCAAGTTAGGGAGGAGAATATATATTCTAATCACATGAGATTAGTCTGGATTCAATTATTCAGAAAAATAAACTATAACAATAATCCCCGATTCTTCCTCATAATATATATATATATATACATATGTATTCATGTGTTTTGTAAGATTATATTTTGCTTATATTTTTTAAATTTTTTTGTGATGTGACGGTATATATGACGTGGCATCTAAGTTATAATCTAATTATATTTGTAGACATCAGCAATATTTTCCATCCAATCTGTAATGCTATTATATGTAATTAAAATTCGGAAACTTTTAGAAGTTGATATTTAATACGAAATTGAAAGACAATTTTATATATTTTTTATGAAAGTTTTACAATTTAATATTTCTATAATAATTTTTTCAAAAATATTTTAGTGAAAATTTTTCTTATATAATTTATATTAAATCCAATCAATATTATATTCGAAATAATTTTTTAAAATAAGTAATAATAAATTGAAAGCAATTTAAAATAAAAATATATAATTAATTGAATTAGAATAAAATTCGTATTAAATTGAAAAATAAAGAATAAAGAATTAAAAATATTATTTTAACAGTAAATCAAAATATAGTTAAAATTTGAAATATTCATTTTAATTAAAACTATAAAAATTATGAAGAATCGTTTTTTTGTATCTTATCCAATAAAAATAAAAATAGAAGAGACAGTAATATTTTTTTTGGTGTAATAATTATTCTCAAAGTATTATAATATATATCTGTTCTTTATAATCTAAAGTATTATACTAATTTATATATGTGAATCATATTTTTTGGATAATGTTTTTTTAGATTAGAGGAAGATATTACATTTCATTCATAAAAAAAAAAAGAGATTACATTTCAAAAATAGCCAATGACCATTGGGCATTGGCATTGGACGAAGGCTGAAGGCTCTGCGAACGCGGGAAAAGTAGCAGACGACGAGTTTGAATCGGGAGAGATTGACAGACAGAGAGAGAGAGAGAGAGAGAATGGACGATTCAGGTGCGATTCTCTGTCAGATCTCCATTTTCAAGGACATGCTTGATCAGGTACTCTCCGTCTTCTTCTCCGTGGTTAGGTTTATCATTCTGATTTGGTCTATCTGGAGCTTGGTTTTGATGCGAATCGTTTCGTCTTGAATCGAATTCCAAAGGTCAATGAGGAGATCGAGGCGAACATTCAGGTGACTCGAGAGATTGAGTCGGAGATCGTCAAGTGTTCTGAGACGGAATCGGTTCTCTATCTAAAGGAATCGGAGTTGACCAGATCATTCCTCGCTTCCCAGTTCGAGATCAACGGCTTGATCTCCGTAACAGGTTATTTCAAAAGTTCTCGCGAACCATTTCTTCACAATTTTAATCGCTTTCCGACTTGTGACTCCTTTCCGTATATTTGGGGAATGATTCGGAGCGTAAATTTCAAATTTGTTGGAATTAGTAACGAATTTCATTATTTGTTTTCCTTGAAGGCGATTCGAGAAAATTTTGGCAACTACTAGAGGAAGAGATCTGTTGTCTGAGTAAAAAACGAGATAAGCTGGTTAGAAGGATTGACGAGAAACGGTATTCTTTCATTTTACCTTTTCAATACAATTCCGGCAACGGGTCTGTACTGTAGACAAATTCTCCATATACTCCAAATTCACATCCTCTTTATGCCCATTTCATCAATCTCATTGTAGTAATAACTAGAGTGTTCATTTGGACAATGTGTTGGTTGGATTCAGTGAAGGGTTCGTGAAGATGTGCGTGGAATTCCAAAGAGAGATCACTGCGGGTCAAAATGACGAATTAAGGGGTTTATTTTCTGAGAAAGAGTTGCTGGAAAACCAAGTTCGAATGTTGGAAGAGAAGAGCAAAGCTGTGAAGAACTCCATTTTGGCTTACATGGAGGATGAGATGGGGAGCCTACTGTCTGAGGAGTTCATGGAAAAGTGAAGTTTCAACACTCAAGACAATAAAACAGTGCTCAAAGGTAAGCAATAGCTGCTTGATTCTTTCCAAACCCATCATCACTCTTGTCTCATATTCAGTAATACAAAGAAGAGATACATGCCCCCAAAGCCAAAAGAATACTTTTTTTTTTTTTTTAAATGGATTTGCCTATCAAGAGAGACAATGGATTTGTCCATCAAAAGGCCAGAAGATCAGTAATCTACAAAATACGTCTTACCAAAATAGAGGAAATATTTGGTCGGTGAAAGTAATTCTTATACTCCTATATAATTTTATTTTAAAAACCTGTATGATTTTGTACTCCTACTTAATTTTCTTCTTACAAGATAAAAGAGTTTAAGAGGCGGGTTTTTTTAGACGTGAGAAAGGCGTAAAGTTTGAACTTTGTTTAAACACGTGAGCTGGGCAAATTGGCAGAAGCTCAAAGTTTCGAGCTTTGAGATTCCAAAATATCATATCAGATCATGGGTTCTTGAATTCTACAAAATACACAATTTCATATAACATGATAGTTGATATTGATGAAATAGTAGTTGATTGGAAAACATTCTTTCTAATCTTCAAAATTCAGATATCTAAAAATTCGCAAATAGAAAAATCGGATTCCAAATTTTAATATTCAAAATGTTTGTGTACAAATTGAGATACTATAAAACTTTTAGATGTTGTACTCACATCCATCTCTATCGAAATATTATTTTGCTCCTCGAAATTGTCCTAGATTCACAGATTGAGCTATAGAAAATCTCATCGTATTCTCTATTGAATGCTAAACAAAAATAATAGTATAAATTGATTTTGAAGGATCGTAGATCCATATCGTATAACTCTTTAAAGCGTAATTTGAAGATAGATTTTTTGTATGGATTATATGTCGCCAGTAGTAACAAACGTTGCATGATTTTAAAAAAGTTTGAAGATAGATTTTTTACATATCAATTCATTAGTTGACTATTTGTATATGTTTGAATTTTGAACTAATTAATTGTTTAGGTTTGTAGATTTTTCATCACATATTTTTTTGAAAAGGAAATAGGTTAATTAACCAATTGATACTCAAACCTAATATAAACTCTCTATATATTAGTCTCTTAATGTTTTGATTTATTTAAAATTTTTGGAGCATTGTTCTGCACTTCGAAATTGCCCCCATTCTCAGGCACGAATCTCTTTGCAGACTAAATTTGGTTCACTCCTCCGGGTCTGCATTAAGGAGAATGAGCTTCGCCCATAACATCCGGTTGTAAAAAAAAAAATGATGTGTAGCAAATGCCATTTTTTCTCTGGAGGCGGTGGCGCGTGCACTCGACGCTCCGTTCCGTGTCTGCTGTTATGGTCCATAAAGAAGGTCCATTTATGGGCTTATTGGGCCTAGAAACACACTATCTCTATGTGCACCTAAGGGTTGCATCTGATATAGAATTTATCCAACCCAACCAGCAAATCACACATACCAACTTTTGCATATACCCCTCACGTATATATATATATATTTGTGTGTATGTAGGCAAATTACGTTGGAGAAAACTTTTGTATCTATTTTCTTTCTTCCACTTGGAGTTGATGTGACGTCAGCCTTTTAATAATACTAGCTAGCTCCAACAAGAACATGGTTCGCAACTTCACGATATATTGTTTGGGTTAACCGGATGTCTTGAGTTGAGGCCCAAACTAATCGTAGGGTGGAGAGCAATCCATGTGATTAGAATATGTGCTCTCCTCCCCAACTCGAGGCTCGAACTCGGATCTGAGCGAGACAGATGCTTTGTATTTTCGTTTCATCGGTTGAACTACCCAACTTGGATTCCACGATATTATATCCATCGTTTGAAACCAATCTATATTGCTTCATATGCAATTCCAAAGTACAAATTCAAGAACTAAAATTAGGGTTAGAAATGAGATGCGAAAATTCTGTATATCTTATAATTTGTGTTGATGTGTGGTGTTGTCAAATCTCCTCTGCTTAAGCGTGAGGTAGCTACAGAGGCTATCTCTTAATCAAATCGCTAATTTTCCACTACATTTTGTCGCACGAATGTTATTTTATAACAAAGTCAAATCTTATTATAGATTCCATGATATGGTTAAACGATTTTGTTGTATGCACAATTATTCTATTATGATTACGCAAACAATATTTTTATAAACTTAAGATGTTTTCAGACAATTTGCGTAGTACCAAAAAAAAAAAACTAGAATAGGTAGATAATTGGCATACATACGCACTATAGTTACGCGTAGCTATAATAGTATGTTATAAAATCTATGGAGTCATATATACATCAATGGTTTATTTGATAGCTGAGCTCAATTATGAAGTACGTATGATATTATTATATGGACCGGCAAGATGCTTTGGTATTCAAACCGTAAATCTGCGTCATCTCGTTGATCTAATAGTGTGCGTGTGTATATATATCGGGAGAGAGAGAGTGTGTGTATATATTTCGTTATAAATATTTAGTTTAAATCTACAAACAACAATCCATGGCTTTCTCAAATCGACTCCATATCATAAAATTGTTGGTTATGGACCGTCAATTTCAATGAGGTCACGTGTAGCTCCTTCTCCTTCACAGTTGACATATTAACATTTGATGAAGAGCAATGAATAACCATTAAATGGAATAAAGAAAAAAGATAGAAGAATTTAAGTGCAATGAATATGTATATATATATATATATACAATACTAATTTTGCACAGATATATAAAAACAATGGGGTTTGATACAATTATTATAAAAACTCTTTTGTAATATAAAAGCAGTGGGAAATATTGTCATAGAGCATGTGCTCCTGAGTTTGTACTATGTGTATGACAAAGAGTGACTCAAATTTTTCAACCAAAAGATTAGGACATGGCAGAAGATAAGGACAAACTACAAGACATGAGAGCACTTATCAATGTTCCGAGAGGAAAGAGGAGAGATGAAAACATGCACAAAGGGAGAAGAACTAACCAAAGACTGCATTTTGTTTTGTGGGTAATTTTCAAATATGGTTTTCGCTGCCTCTCACTATCAACAACTTCAAGATGGCGCATTTCCTCAAAACCCATTTTCTTGCATTTCATCTATCCGTTTTGTTCGCTTCATTGGGTGTGTTGTTTTCAATGCAACACGCCCAAATTGTCGTGTGGTCCTCCTGATAATGGCAGGCCTAGAGAGAGAGAGAGAGAGAGATTGATTAGATGGAGAAGGCGGCATGTATAAATGGAAAGAGAATTGAGCAGGAAGGATGATAAAAAAAAAAAAAAAGGGGAGGGGGGGGGGTCAAACTTCTGGAACTTGAATGAAATATGAATAAAATATTCATATTAATAAATATAAATATTAAATAATAATAATAAATAACTAAATAAAAAAACGAATTAAAAATTTGATATATGATATAAAAATAGAATAG